CCCCACCCGAGGCGGAGATGCTGGAAGCGGGGGCAGTCCCGGCCTTTTCCGCGCCCCCCCTCCTCTCTCCTCCCCCCGGCGCGGGGACTCTTACTGCAGCGGGGAGCCCGGGCAGCCCCGCAGGCGTCCCCGCACCGCGGGAGAGGGACCGGCCCGTCCGTCCGCCCGGCGAGGGAGGGAGATCGGTTCCAGCTCCGTGCCTGTCCCGCTCCTCGCCCTCTCTCCTCCCGCCATCAGCCCCCGGGATGCCTCCCAACCTCACCGGCTACTACCGCTTTGTCTCCCAGGAGAACATGGACAACTACCTGCGCGCTTTAGGTACCTCCATCCTCCTCATCCGGCTCCTTCCCTCCCCTTTTGCTCCTTTCTGTCTCCAAAAATGTCAGGAAACTGGAAGGGGATGAAGGGGTTTGGGAACTTTCCGGTCCTTCCGCCTGCGGCCATCGCTTTTGCACCGTGGTGGGAGAGGAGGGAGGGTGTATCATGGCTCCCTGGCTAAAAGAATGGAGGAGCTCTGTGGGGATGCTGCTAGAGGAGAGGCCTGGGTGGTCCACACATCTCCCCCCTCTCGTCCTCTCCAGATATCAACGTGGTCCTGCGAAAACTGGTTTGCCTCCTGAAGCCTGATAAAGAGATCATCCACACGGGAGATCACATGGTCATCCGCACCATCACCTCCCTGCGGGACTACGTGATGGATTTTGACCTGGGAGTCCAGTTTGAGGAAGACCTGGGACCCGTGGATGGACGCAAGTGCCAGGTGAGGAACCCCAAGAGGTGCGGTTTGACAAAGCGGACCGGGGTGCGCTAACAAGTTCAGGGACTGGCTCAGCTTTTGATTCACGAAGCAGTTGAGAGCCCAGCCCAGGGCTGGCGTGCCCCTGCAGGTCCGGGAATAAGTGGTTTCTGTCAGTAAATCACTCACAGCAAAGGGGATGAGCACCCTATGGCCAGAAACCCGGTGTTTTGGGACCCAGAAACCCGGTACTTTGGGACCCAGAAACCTGGTACTCTGGGTCCCAGAAACCCAGTACTTTGGGACCCAGAGGGTGCTACCCTCTGGAGCAAAGCCCTGAGAAGGCTGACAGAATGTCAGCCCACTTGGCAGCCCTCCGTTGGGTTTGGAAGCCAGAGGGTCATTCACCTCCCACAACGAGCATCGGCCCCAAGGAGCCACCAAAGAGGCACTGGATCAGGGGCTGCATTTGAAAATGTGTCTCCTGAGAGGAATAGTCAGAGTTTCATCACTGGAGACCCTTATTGCTGGGACCGGCTTGTCCTAGGACCATGTCTTCCCCTCTCTTCCTTTTCTTCCAGACAACTGTCTCCTGGGAGGGGGACCAACTGGTGTGTGAGCAGCTAGGAGAGAAGAGGAACCGAGGCTGGAGGCACTGGCTGGAGGGGGACCAGCTGCATCTGGTGAGGAGGGGGTCCAGCTCGGCTTCCTAAATCCCAATGGTGGTGGGTGGGGGATACACACACACACACACAGAGAGAGAACGTGGGTGCTACGGGGCTCCGAGCCAGCCCTGCAGCTTCCTTCCAGCTCCTCTCCCAAGCTTCATCCCCGGCTTCTTGCGAGCAGCCACTGCTGCTTCTTCTTTGCACAAACATCCGCCTCCAGGGTTTAAAAGTTAACACAGCTCAGCCAAAGGCAACTGGCCCTTCCCTTGCCCTTCAGCCCCCCCGACCCCCTGTGGCTTTCGGGAGGGTCGGGAAGGGCAAGAAGCAGCGTGTGGCCTCCGGAGGCTCCAGCCAGCAGCTGCGGGAGGGCAGGCAGGGCTGGGGGAGGG